CTTAGCACTTAACAGTATAGTTAGGATATAGAAAACATAGTGCTTTTATTATACTGTTGTTTCATTACTGTGTTATAGCATGCATTCCCTACCATGCTGAACTGAACTCCTTTGTAGCTGCTCTGTAGTGATGCTAATCTTTTTTTATACAATAATATCATAAAGGTTTAAACTAATTGAATGCTTACTGGCCTATCCCAGTACTCCCATTCAGCAATACAAATAGTTAATATTTTATCAACTGATTTTTTAGACAGTATAGCAGAAGCTGAATTTTGCAATTCCTGAGCTGAGTACAAGAAAGTACTGTTTCTTTGCCCAAAATATTTAAGTAAAAGAAGTTTGAACAAATCCTGGAAGATTTCACAGCGGAAAAAGGAGTTGCCATGTTACCTGTGCAATGCTTTCTAATAAACTTTCCAAAGCTGAGTTCTTTCACCCCTATAGACCCGTCAGTATAAAGTAAATTTTATTTTAACCAGTGTGGCAAGTTGCATCCGAGCATTGACCCAGAGCAGAAGTGATCCTTCACAATTTTTCCAGATTTGATTATGAAATCATTAATGATTTTCTCTCCATTTTCCTGTAGCTTTTATTTCTTTCTTCATCTAGAGAAACCTTGGCTGATATCTATGAAGACTTATTATAATTAAAATCTGATGTAAGGCAGTCATACTGTGGCCCTATAAATGAAGATTAATTAGAGCATAGTTCCTGATAAGATGGTAGGGCTTACCCACTCTTCTGGCCAGATCAATTTATAGTTTGTGGCTGAACCCGTCCTGCAGTTGTAGTTGGGGAAGCTTTTAAGCTTTTTTTTTTTTTTTTTGCTTTTTAAAATTTATGTACTCTTTGAAACAGCTGTGAGGTCATCCCAGAAATGGATTACATACTTGTGATAGGTCTGCATTTAATATTCCTAAAAACTGTTAAATATTTTTAGATTCCACTAGAGGAATGTACTAGATACATGTACTGTTTCAGTATCTCAGTGATTTAGTAAACTCTAAATATGAACTACCCGAATCATGAATATGTTTCATATGATTTATTTAAAGGTACTTATTTTGTATTCAGTGCCATAATTATCTGTGTCTGAAGGCCTAGTTTCACCTCCACTGAGTAGTATCTTGCTCTGCAAGAAGTGATAGGACTCTGCTTTGAGGAGTTGTTAGAGATATGTTTATACTATGCATGTGTTCAGGTGAAGACTTAAAGAAAGATATTTCCTGAATCAAGATGTAAACCTTCAAACATATAGTACTGTAGTTTAAAAGCAGATTCTGAACTTAAGATCTCAAGGATCTCATTCAATTCATTGATATTAAGAGAACTGCAATATCTTCTTTGCCTAAAGAATGTTATTATGAACTAAAATTTTCAGCATTGATTTTGATTTGAATTGAAGGCTGTAGCTTGAGGGAAAACGGTTCAAAAGGTTCTGGGTAGCTATTTGCCATTTATGCTCAGCAGAGACTTTTGTCCTCTCCATGTGTTAAGTTTAATAATTCCCATTTGTCTAAAACAGGCTTGGTTTGAATCTTGATCTGAAGTCATCAAAAGGCATAGAATTTCTCACTTTCTACCCAAGAAAACTTCTAAATGTCCTGTAAGATTCAAAGTTGCACTGTTTTGTGACCAGAGCTTAGTTGAAGCATCAACAAGTAAAACTCGGCCAGTATGAACAGGTTGCCCAGGGGTGGTTGTGTAATCTTCATCTTTGGAGATATTTAAAAGCCATCTGGACACGGTCCTGTACAACCTGCTCTAGGTGACCCTAGAGCTTGACCCTGCTTGAGCAAGGGGGTTGGATTAGATGATCTTTACAGGTCCCTTCCAACCTCAGCCATTCTGTGATTGTGTGAATGAGTAAGAAATAAGTCTCTCAAAGAAGATTTCTTTATTGCATTTTCAATATTTCAGCATCCTTGTTATATTAAGGAAGTTCATAGTGTTATGTATTAACATTAAACCAAATGCTTTTCAATGGAAAAAGTACCATTAAGAATAATGACTGTAGTTATATATCTTTTGATATGTATCCAATGTGCACATTCAGGTGGAACTAACAAGAAGAAAAGCATTTTATGAATTCACTGTCAGTGGCTTGAAGGAAAAAATGGACATAGTGTAAGAGCTGATCTGGAAGGTAAGACTGTCGCACTGAGATTAAGTTTCTACTCTGTATTTCAAGGTTACTGACAGTGAAATCGTGTAAAGCGTGTGGATATGAAGACTTTTAAGCAGGCCGTTATCAGTCATAGATGTAGAATATCTCTCAACCTCCCTCTACAGACTTGGAAATTTGTTGACAGTTTAGAGGTAGCTGATAAGATTTACAATACTTGAGAGACACTTGAAATAGGGGAGTTAAGCAGAAGCTTTTACAAGAGAAGAAGCTGACAAAAGTAAAGCACTGAAATGAAAGCTACAGTAGTGAGCTTTTGAAGATTTCAGAGAACATTTATCCATTCAGCCGAACGCAGCTGCAGCAAAATTTGTTTCTATACCAATAACAATAATGAGGAAAAAATGAAGTGGTTTATTAGAAAGATTTATGGCATATACTGCAAGACCGCAACTGGCAGAAGATTTTTGGCTTTGTGGCATCCAAAAGTAAAGAGTAAGTTAATGTGAGCCTAGGAAGAGAATATGATTAATGAATTGACAGATATAATGCCAGTGAATTGCATTCTTTGGTGGAGCTTGCTTCTTGAATGATTCTGTATGGACAATATATTTTGGAGGATATCCCATTTCCAATGAGCAGGGTGATCTTAGTTTGGAGACCAAATCTGAATTGCTCTTAATCGAGCAGGCACTCAGCTCTTCTGTAATTTGACATCATCTATTTTATGCTTGCATTTCTATTTCTTCTTCCTACCAGGAACTTTCAGACGTTTCTGGAAATTGGATCCACCTGCTCACCAAAGGATCTCTAGATGCTTTCATCTGCCTGCCTCAGAGAGGCTTCTTTGATGTTTTTGAAAGTATATTTCCAAGCTCAGGATGATCTCAGATGACTCTTGCCGTGTATTGGAAGCTACCAGTAAATAGCATTCACTGCAACACTCATTTTTCTCCCTCCCCTCTCCCAAGATAGATGGACGGTTAGTTGGTTCCTCTGCACCTGCATCTCTCCAAGTGTCATGTATGTAGTTCTTCCAGCCCCAAGGAAGGACATCTAGCCATCTGAAACTAGAATTTCTGGAGAGCTGCTGCTGAGTTTAGGGCTTTGCAAAGAGTGTAAGAGGCCTTTATTTTCATCACTGTGTTTCCACATATTCTTGAGCCATTCTGCATACTGACCTTTCTCTATCTGTTATTTCCATGTCTATGTTGTTTTTCAGGATGACTAATATTCCCTCCTCATTTGGTATATGGTGGATAGAGTGATAGGGCTATTATTTGTCTTCTCTGGCATGATCTTCATTTCCTCATACCTCTGTTTTGCTTTCTGAATGGTGGAGCTGTTCTGGGACCTATAGGTCAGAACAAAAACTTTTAAATATAAGGCTTGTTTACAGGGTTTCAT